CTATCTCCATCTTGGTCTCCAAGTCCCTTCCTCTTGTCATCATCGAAGGTGATTCCGAAGTGGTGATTCGTCAGCTTCGCTAGGGCATTTCTTCAGATTCCCTCGGAGGTCCGGTGCTACGTGATTGCTTCCAGTTCCTGTCTTCAGTTTCTATTTTCTTAGAGTTTAGGGCAGTTCCTAGAACTGCTAACAGGGCTGCCCATAGAGTGGCGCTGAAAGCCCTGTTACTTTCTCCTCTTGAGATTGATTCCTTCGACTTTGTAGGGTGACTTCTCTAATATATTGGTTTGGGAGGATTTCGGGTAGATTGTATAGTTTTTTTCTCTTGACATTTCTTTGAAGAAGAAAAAAAAACATGTGATTCAGCTGACAAAGTACCAGTAGTTGGATGCCAAATGCTACTTGGAGCATCCACATTGGTATTGCATTCTCAATTGTATAATGACATAGCATAGGTGTTTGCAATTGCAAAACCAATTGCATTGATGTGGCTACCAATTGCATATTTGCAAGCTTGCAACAAATGCAATTCCATATGCAAGTAAAAAAAACCTAAAAAATGGGGATTTTTTTATTTTAAATTTTTTTTTTCTCTTTTACTTAATATTCTATAATTTAAACATAATATTTAATTAAATTTGCAATTGCAAGTTAATTGCATTGATGTAGGTGAATGAAATGCATGTGATGTGGATTGCAAAAAATTTGAGGTTACAATAAAAAATACAAATGCAATTTCCTTTGCAATTGCATTGATGGAGATGCTCTTATGCCGATAAACCAAATCACTTTTGCCAGTTATTGGTTGCAGCTAACTAGTAAGACTAACTCCAATCCAAAAGGTTATATTTAGCCTCTCAAGCTCTCAAATGTGCATTTTTACCTTCCAAAAACACTTTTTTGCTCCAACCCTAAACCTTTTAAATTTGCCTTCCCAACTCATAACCAACCAATCAGAAATTAAGAAAGTAAAAAAGAAAAAAGAAAAAGAAGATGCTAGAAAGTGGAGGGCCCCAACGTGTGGGCTTGGGTTCCATGGTTGGTCCCCCACCTTCTCTCCTTGCATTTTTCCATATCAGTTTCTATCTATCCACCCACAAGCCCACTTCTCCAAATTTGCAAGCCAAATAATTGGTGGGTTGGAGATGAAAAAAGCCAAAAACCTCCCTTTCTCCAAATTTGCATGCTTGGGTTGGAGACAGTCTAAGCCCAATAATTTCGACTCTGGTTTAGCACAAAAAACGCTTACGGTTATCAATTAACCGCTCCAGTTAAACCAAAATAGACCCGGTTAAAAGTTAAAACCATTCATTGCCATTATTTGAAAAAATAGCTAATACTAGCTAGGCAGCAAGCAACACCATATTTTAGCATTTCATTTCTAAAAGCTCAATCAGTGACATGCATGAATAAATTCGCGCCTCCATCTTTCTCATGTGAACTGAAAACTTGACACAAATATTACTTTGCTGCGTAGAACCACGCAGAACTGTAAAATGTCTACTCAATCTAGTGCCAACTTAAGCTTTTGCAATGTCTGAATAGAAAGCAGAATCCGACACTCAAGGCCTTGCGCCTTACATAATGTGATTAGAGGAATGTTTAAACAACCCCTCTCAAATACATTCGGGCTGATCACCAAGCTTTAACAACAAATCAAGCAATCAGAATGAGTATCATTCTTTCTTCAGTATAAGCACAAATCCTTTTCACATCTTATATAGATGGCTCGCTCTTATCCTCTTGGGCGCCAATCTCTTGCAGGAAATGCTCTGCTTCCAATGCTGCCATGCACCCTGCAAAGTCACAAACGTACGTAGGACTCCAAGTTAAGCTGGCATATTTGTTTACGAAAGAAACGAAGCATGGGCGAGGGTAACAATTGTTCTTCGACATGCAAATAACCGTCTTATGAGTGATTGACCCGAGCATAGAAGAAAGAAGGCAGGCTACTTTCCACAAGGTAGAACCCAAAATCAAGGTGGCCTTTCAACTAAGCTTGCATTTACAATCCTAAAATCGTCCAAGAGCAGCATGATGAGAACTAGATTACACATCATTGTAGCAAAAGGCCTTAACTAGCTAGATGCTTGGAAGCTGGAATGCAGTATATAAACATTTGCATACAAGGTAAGTTTTTCGCAACAGTTTCCAGTCCTTATGACATCAATCTGTAACTGCAAAATGCTTAATAAACCATGAATATTAGAAGAAAGTCGAGACTGAACTAAACTGCTACTCTGAACATGTGCAACAAACAGTATTCGGTTACATGCTTCGAATTAGACTCGCTATCTTTCTTTAATCATCTACTTTATCTAAACTATAGCTTGGTACCTCTATATCAAAGAGAACATATGTAAAAACTACTTATAGCGACTTCAAGAATTAGAAGATAAAGTGTACTGCAAACTACTTTACTCACCTGTACCTAGAGTAAGATCTAGCTTACTTCTCATCCTACTACAATTTGACACCAAAGAAACAACAGAAACAACTAGGAACTGTAAAGAACAATGCCATATATGGAAATTAATGTGTCAAGTGCAAGCATGGCAAAGCAAGAGAACTGCATGGCACAGTTGAAGTCAGATCATGACTCGAGATAGAGCTAGAACTGCAAATGAACAAAGATGACAAAGCAAGAGAACGAACCAGTGCCAGCTGCTGTTATAGCCTGTCTATATTTCTTGTCCTGAACATCACCAGCAGCAAAAACCCCACGAACGCTAGTCTGGGTAGTTCCAGGCTTGGTCAAAACGTAGCCATCAGAGTCGAGTTCCAGCTGCCCATCCAAGAACTTGGTAGCTGGTTCATGACCAATGGCGAAGAACAACCCAGAAACCTTCAAATCGGAGACTTCATCTGTCACCATGTTCCTCACCTTCAACCCAGTAAGCGACCTCTCTCCATAAGCCTCCTCCGTCACCGAATTCCACAGCACCTCAATCTTAGGGTTCGTCAGAGCCCTGTTCTGCATAATCTTGGATGCCCTGAAAGTATCCCTCCTGTGAATGATGTAAACTTTGCTCCCGTACTTGGTCAAGAAATTCGCCTCTTCCATCGCCGAATCCCCACCTCCGATCACGGCCAGCGGCTTGTTCCTGAAAATGGGGGCGGCGCCGTCGCACACCGCGCACGCGGAGATTCCCCGGTTCCAGAAAATGTCCGACCCGGAGAAATGGAGGCGCTTGGCTACCGCCCCCGTGGCAACCACGACGGTATCGGCGACGACGGTCTTCGAATCGGTGGTGATCTTGAAAGGAGTGGAAGAGAAATCGACCTTGTTTACCGTCTCGGTGAAGACTTGGGTGCCGAATCGGAGGGACTGGCTACGGCAGCGATCCATGAGCTCTCCGCCCATGATTCCTTCGGGGAATCCGGGGAAGTTCTCGACGTCGGTGGTGGTGGTCAGCTGGCCGCCGGGGGCGATGTCGTTGGCCATCCAGCCTTCGAAGAGGATGGGCTTGAGCTCGGCTCTTGCGGCGTAGATTGCGGCGGTGTGGGCGGCGGGGCCGCTCCCGATGATGCAGACGCGGGTCTTGATCTCCTCCATGGATGCGCCGGCGACCGAGGTGGAGAGTGAAGCGGAAGCGACGGCGGTGGAGGCAGTGGCGAAACCGATGTAGCAGCGAAATTTGGAGAGGAGAGTTCTGAGTTTGCCGGGAGTTTGACTCATTGGCTGCGCGCTCTCGGAAAGTGGGAAGGCGCGGAGAGAAAGATGGGTTCTTCTTGTGTATTAACATTACATAGGGTGCACAAAACAATTCCTAAATTGACCCGTCCAATTCTATCCAATTCACTCGTTTTTGTTGTAAAGAATAAAGTTTAAAGTTGAGTAAAGGTTTTCTTTTGTACAAATCACATCTATTAGGTTGGGTGTAGATTTTGGGTAATACAGCAAGTAGAAACCCAACTCAATTATAAGCAAATCGTTGGATTCTAATTTTTTTGAGTGAGTTTGGATTTAGTATTTTCAAAAGTGTAGTATATGGGTTGTTAGTAAACGGTTTATGATTTACGATTGAACCTCTCCAAACAACTCGAATTGTCGAGATCAATTGGTTCTGACATAGTATCAGAGCCTTATGTGGCTGAAAGGTCTCCTGTTCAAATCCCGATGACCCCAACATGTTTCTGTTATGTACATGGTGTCCCGATTTGTGCCTGTGCAAACTCAAGCCTATCTGAATGGCTTGAGTTATGTATAACGCTATTATTACATGCCATTGTTAGATTAATTGCGGAAGACCTAATTTGAGTTTTGGGCTTCATCATTATGAACCACTGACTTGGCTTTTCAGAATTTCTCTTATCCCACAAAGGTAAATAGATTTTGTTATGCAGTTCAATATTATCAATTTTGGAGTCTAGAAATGGTTAATGGAGAATATATCCCCATTTTCTCATGGTTTTGTGCGTGGTACTTTCAACAGGAGAACACAAAAAAGAGATCGCTTGAGTAGTTTGTTGGTTGTCAATCCAATGAAGAATCAATTGATTTGTTATGCTTGTACTGAAATCTATAATAGGAAGATCAGGCTGTTTGCTCACCATGGACTGATTGATCAAGCTCACGGTTTGTTCTTCCAAATGCAGAAATGAAAGTTTTATGTCATTTTGGTTTAGATTAGTGGGTTATGAGTCACGGTCTTTTGCAATTAGTTGTGTTCAAACCGCTTTAGACCACACACTTAAGGGTGAAACATCAAACCATACAAGACTATAATTATGGTCTCAAGATCCTGACCAAAACATGCCATCTGATATAAATTGCGATTTCTAATACAATTTGATCCGGATTTCCGGCTCCATCTACATTCTCTTTTACTATTGCTGCTTCTCATGAATTGGACCTCAGCGGTTCAACCATCCATTCTAACCGCGCGCCGTGGAGAATCACTCACCACGCACAAGTTTGAGCAAGTCATGTTGTGGGAGCCAAATCAAAATGCCATCGTAAGTAGTAGTGTGAATTTTCAGAAAGATTGAAGAAACCATCCATTTCTATAATCATTGTAAGGCTATTGATCCTTCCGAAAAACCAACCTTTCTGGCGCCCTTACATTACAGGCACTTCAAAATATTCTACCCGTCAAATTGACAGGCACGGAAAGATGACAAGAAGAAAACACGACTACCAACAGCGTTATCCCCAGGTTTCACCTGACAACGGAATCTGGAATCAAACCCGCAAGCTGCAAGCCGTTCTTCTTGTAGTGATCAGCAAGTGCATAAGCATGGATTCAACAGAGAAGAAATGCCAAGTTCCTGCTACACTTTTGCAGTAAAAGGAAATAGAAATGCTGCCATATCCGAGGTGCCAATCGTATAAATAAGGCACAGCAACAATGTGATAAGAGCAAACTAAATCAAATGGTACAGCAGGTGGCAAGACTTTCCAATAAGTGACACAGCTTGGTATGAAATTCAGCAACTGAAAGTCTGAAAGCATTTTACTTCTAATAAACCCTACCCGCAGGCAAAAAAGTTTGCCCAACACAAAGTTCCCCACTCTATGGTCACAAACTTGCACTAGCAGCAGTTGATTTTTTTTTTCTGCAAAAGCGACGGGGCTCCCTTGATCCTTCCTGATTCAACAAAATAATTTAAGTCGATCCATCCACATCAGCAGGTACAAGTGGTCCTTTGTTTCTTCTACTTGTAGAATTCGAAGTCGGTGTCTGGCTTCTTCACATTCGAACGGTAACCCTTCTCAAAGTCCTTGGGAAGTATCACGTATCTGTTCTTACGTACTGCGTGCATCCCTGCTTCTTGGCAGATGGCTGCAATCTGTGGCCCATAGTCAAAGAAAGCAAGTGGTCAGAATCAGCAAATATCCAGAAAATGCATAACCTCAGATAAAAAACCGAGACTCGGAGCAGCTGAAATATTGAGACTCGGTGAGACGAACATCAGCCCAAACAGAAGAGCAGACAACCCAAACACATAGTTAGGGTACAAATACTGAAGAAAAGACTAATGATCTAATCTGAACTTCACCTATCTGCAACTATAATAACAAGCAAATGAATAATGAATTACTAAATTAAAAAAATCAATGCAATGACATAATCTGGATCCAGTTGGCACGACTATATAATTAAAACGGGCAGAAATCTGCATTTTCTGGATCCTTTTTGAAGAGACAGCCAACAAATCCAGAATAACTGGAATCTTGAGTGGGAGTAGCAAAAACATGCAACATGAACACAAACCGGTGCAACAACCTCAAAAGAGAAACGAATTGAAAGCACTGGGAATAAGAATATTTATATGAAAGTAGCAAGCTAACCAACCTCAGCAGCGCTAATTTTATCTGGCCTTGACACATAATCCTCCAAATCCACCTCGTCACCAAGATTCATCTTAGAGGTGCAGACCTGTACAATAATCATCCAAAATGCATCAATACACAATTCAGGTAAAAATAATGACGATATGGGGTTAAGTTAGGTACAAGAAAAACAAAAGTAGTCATCAGAGCGGCAGAGTCTATACCTGGAAGACCAGCCTCTTCTGTCTCCTATCAGGCAAAGGAAACTCAATTTTCCTGTCCAGCCTTCCAGGACGAAGGAGTGCAGGGTCCAGAGTATCAGCACGATTAGTTGCCATTATGACTTTGACATTAACAGTCTGGTCAAACCCATCCATCTGCAGCCAATTATTGAAGCAGCAGTCAGAAATAATATCCAGATGCCAATAACAATATTCAAGAGTACCAAGACAATACTATCTCCATTAAGACCAGGTTCTTAGCAGATACCTGATTCAAGAGCTCCATCAGAATACGCTGAACTTCCCTATCAGCTCCTGTCTGTGCATCAAACCTAGCCGTGGCAATAGCATCCACTTCATCGATGAAAATAATTGCAGGTGCGTTCTCTTTGGCAAGACGAAAGACATCCCGAACCATGCGTGGCCCCTGGGGTTACAAAAACAAGAAATTGATAATCAAGACCACATCAAACTTATTGTCATGAGGTACTAATAACATTCCACAAGTTTCCTTTCAGGACATACCTCTCCCAGATACTTCTGCACAAACTCAGACCCAACAACTCTAATGAAAGCTGCTGTAGTATGATTTGCAACAGCCTTAGCGAGCATAGTTTTCCCAGTACCAGGGGGACCATAGAGCAGCACACCTCGAGGTGGGTCTATACCGATTTGCTTGTACAACTCGTGATGAGTCAGCGGCAACTCCACAGCCTCACGAATTTCTTGCTTTTGAATGTCACATCCTCCAATATCCTGGCAAGATCATAAGGAAAAGTTCAGACTTTCAAACAAGGCACCAAATGCAATGAAGTTGACGAGGGATTGTGCCAGTGCTTCGATTGGAGCACATGCTTTGCGTCAAAAAAAGATGCAAAATATCAAAAGAGCAGGAATTCTAGATGCCTAGTTAGAAAAGTCCATCTCGACACTATATAATTAGATGACAGGGAGAAACTTTTGGTGGATTGATGAACTTTCTTGAGTGAACCATACCCTTCTAAATCCAAAAGGAAGTTTCCACACAACACAGCACAAACTCCCTTCCAACTTTGGCTGGAAGTCCAGAACTTTGAACCACAATTCTTAGGGCAAAGGAGCAATCTTTACAACTATTTGAACCAATTACCCTAAAGTTCCAAACTTTACCCCACTCAGGGCACAAAGCGAAACCCTAATATTCAACATCCCCATAAACGGAAGACTCGGGAAAAAAAATTAAGCTGCAGAATTGAACTTACATTATATGTAACATCGGGCTTCTCCGACTGACTGAGCAGGGAGATGCTCGAATCGGCCTCAGGAGGCAACACATCGACAAGGGCATTCGAATGGCGGTGCAAAGCGACGGAAGCCGACGGCTTCAACAGCTCCCGATTAATCGTGCTCAAAATCCTCACATAGTAGTTCGAGCCGGTGGTCGACCCAACGATACCGTTGTTGGTGTCGACCATCTCCATGAACTGCCCGATAACCAACGGCACCGACTGGATCCGCTTGACCTCTTCCTGCGCCCGGAGGAGCTCGCGCTTGAGATTCTTCTGCTCATCTTTGACATACTCCTCCTGGATTTCGATGAACTCAAGTTGACGCTGCAGAGATTTCAGCTTGGCGTAGGGGTCCTCCTCCTCGATGGATTGGAGGATGGGCGGCGGCGGCGACGACTCCGACAACCGCTTCAGGTCGTATACCATAGTGGCTGCAGAAGCCATTACGACGGCAAAATTAAATTCGCTTGAAAGCGGAGATCGGCGATTTGTGGCGATCTCGGAGTCCGCTCTTCAATTTTTCCTACGGCGTGGAGAGAAATCGAAAAGGGGGAAATATATCAAGATGTGGTGGTGGTCTGGATTAACGAGCACGAAACGAACTAAATAAATAGACGATGTAGGTGGGATTTGTCCTTTCTTATAGAGAAAGATACGAACGGGTCGGGTGGTATTCCTTTTCAGTTTTGGATCGGTAGATATTATCAATGGGCCTGACATGAGAGCCCATAATCTTTTGGTAGTGGATGGAAAGACAGAGAACGCATAAAAATCATAAATGAACTGGGCCGGGCTTTCAATATTTTTCTTTTATGGTTGAAAAACCCATTCAATTGAGTTTTTTTTTTTCTTCTACGCAAAGCCAGTTTGAATTTTTAAAAGATAGTCACAAAGAGGAAAAAAGAAAAAACGTGGGAGTCGATCAATAGTCGAACTCCTGATGAGAGGGCCTTTTGTACCACAAGATGGGCAGCCCTATTTAGTCGACGAGAAACAAAGTAGTAAAAAATCTAGTTGAAGTGAGAAGCTCAGCTCCGAGCATCCTCCAGTAGAGCTCTACCCCGATCATGCGCCACGTCACCTCCCACCATCCCGCTGTATCAATTGTTGTGATATCCCCATGAAATTTGACAAAGACACAGGAATGTGTCAAACACCACTGTATGGCCCAAGTATAACAAATGTATTTTGTAATCCTTCATAACACTTTCCGAAAGCAAAGAGAATATTACCTGACGATTGGAAACCCACAGAGCCAATACTACCTTCATGACTATGCTTGACCGCACCATCAAGCTAAACATCAATAGTGTTCAAGGAGTTCCTTCAACATCAGGGGCGTCATTTCCAAGTGCTCCATCAAATCTTATCGAAAGGCCACCTAGTAGACAAGACAGTCGCCACCGATCGACTATTGTGCAATTGAATCTTCACCTGCAAAATGAGCAAACAAAGGTCCCTACTAGGACAATCCTGGCCAAAAGAGCCAAAAGTCAACATAGACACAAGGCAGCATTTCGCCCTTGAAATAGAGAACCAGGTCATCGGGAAACCCCAGATAACCGGCACCACCCGTTACAAACCTAAACCTCTTTTTTTAAAAAAAATAAAAGGTTACAACCTAAATTTCGGGGACCTAACATTTTGCAAGTATATAATTTCTTTTATTTTTATTTTTTTATTACCCAGGAACCTCAGCCCCACGTGCCACTTTGTGACAGCGGGTCCTACTAAATCTGGAGGCCACCTGCAATCAAATTCGACGCCAACGGGCTTCACCCTCAGCAGCCTTGTACCTCCGGGAACACCAACGGACCTCGCTTGGATTCGAACCTGGGATCTGCACCTCCCAAACCTTCACCATCGCGGCAGCTTTACCGTTAGGCTATCTTACCTTTGGTGCAAGTATATAATTTTAAAAAGAAGGCAATAGATACATACGAGAAAAATGAAAAAAGTTGGAAAGAATAATTAAAAACTCTAGCAGGTTCGCCTGAGTCTCACGCGGATCCGTCAAATTAAGTTAAAAAGCTTTAAAATGTGGATATGTTTCAGTTTCAGGCGGGCTCGTCGTTTCTGCGCTCCAAAACATAATGTTCGTGTAATTAGTTTTAGAAACGCTATATTGGTGATAAATTAAAAATAAAAAGAAATATTTAGGGAATTAACCCAGAGCATTTCATTTATTTTGCATTGGGTTTAAGTTAATGTTAAGATTTGATTTTACAAGTATATGACATCTTCAAAACCAACAATGATTACTTTGATATTATGTACAAAACTGTGACAAATCTTATTTCATATCTCTAGTTATAATTTAAACTGAGTCATTGTGTTGATCACCATTTTGAAGGAGGGATAGGTGAGGCATAGATAGGTTGATGGAATGTAATTAACATAAATAGCACTGCTAAACCGAAACTTATAAGATTACGGTTTGCATGAAATCATCATATTTTGTGTATGATCATGTGTCACAAGTGATAAATATTGTATCATGACTCAAATACATAATCTTTCAATTATCAAAGCCGATCCAATACCGTAGAAAATTGAACCAATTCATTTCGATAATTAGGATAGTGGGAAGATCTAGTAGCACTTGCATCCTTTCTCAAGAAAGCTTTAATATCAGCCTAGTGATTTGGCGATTGTCTGGTGTTTGGGGCTGGGGTTTGCGTTTCTGATTTGAAGGAGATGCCAAGGTAATTATTGAAAAGATTATTTCACGGCAGGCTAGCGATAGTCGGGTGGGAGCTATTCTAGAAGAAGTTATACACTTTTTTCATTCTCGTCCGGGGTTAGGTGTGCGGTTTATAGGTCGGAATAACAATAGGGTAGCCCACAGGGTGGCTAGAAAGGCCCTTTCTTTGTCTCCGACTATGAGCTGTGTTTTTTATTTTCAGGCCTGGCTGATGTTCAGGATGTAATTATCTCTTTTTGATTCAATATAATAATACTTTTGTCAAAAAAAAAAAAAAAGATTTGGCGGTTTCTGCTCCACTTACAATTCAAGGCAACAACCTCGTCCACGGCTGCTTCCATAAATGAAGATACCTACCTAATGAATAGCCATTAAAGTGACGAGTTTCATGATTTGTGGCCTTGCATTGTTCTTGGCCAAATTCATTGAGGACCTCACCTTTTCTTTCTGCTTTTTTCTGGGGGATCAGATACTATACTGATCAGTAGCACCTAAACCATTAATTATGAGTTGTAGTAGTCTGTGGAGGTCGACATTGGGCAAATTTGATTTATAAATTATAATGGGATCGAATTGAATTGAGATAGGATCGGATAAAAATAAAGAAAAAATAAGGTTCAAAATCTGTCCAAAAACATGTTTAGTTCATTTGATTTGATTATGTTCGGTTCAAATTCAATTTTAGTCCATTATTTTCATATTTAAATTAATTCATAGGACCAAACCAAATCAAAATATATTCCATCTGATTCGATTCTTTCCAAATATCGATTTGGTCTGGTGTGAATCGGATCGTTGCTCGCCTCTATCAATCTGCGTTGGAGTTGTGTAGTCCTACATTTGTTTAAAAACAATTACTACAACTATAATTGTGTCGAAGTTGTAGTCCTACATAGTGGTGATGTTAGGTTGAAGCTAAGAAGGGCTAAACCCAGAATTTCGTCTAATGTGAGTCCACTTAGAAGAAAAAAAACACATGATAAAATAGTTTTTGTTAACTTTGCTAATCATTCATTATATAAGAAAATTTTTGATAAATTAAAATACATTAGCAGTCAAAAACATCAATAATATTATTATGTGTACCAAACAATTATTAATGATTTGATTAATCATTCTATTTAAATGGTGTTCCTTGTCAGGAACCGTTAGTAAAAAATTTAGGAAAGATAGTAGTTCATAAGACTTTAACCTCTTCTTCATTGACCAATTAGTCCCCTCATTTAGATTTTTGACAATGTCACTAATCCTAAGATTGTACAACAACAACTACAGTTAGCATAGTCGTAACTCCTATGGTTAGCAATGCAACCTATCTTTTTTTCTCCTCATAATAGTACACTAACACATCCATGTCGGTATTGGGTTAATCGTACGAGATGAACTCCCAAAGTTCAAAATTGTAGTTAATGTGAGTATGACCCCATGGGAAGTGGAAGAAGGGAAGTAGGGAACCTTCACTACACGTGTTCTCATTTCTCAAAGATGAAAGATGTTACGATCTTATTTCAGTAGTAATTAGAATTCCACTTGATAATTTTTTTTATCATACCCCATGGTTAGTCTTAAAATATTTTGATTTTGAGTGTTTTATGTGATGTGATGTGATCATTGATCAATAAATTAAATATTTAGCAGCAGAACCCTCAATGGAGCAAACAAAATTTGAGAGAGGCAATTAATTTTCTGGATTCAATCGCAACGAGGGAATGACGAGTATGAATTGAGTGGTGAAATTGTGTTTTATATTGCATCGAATGAAATAATTTAATAAAATTTCGGTTTGGAGTAAAATTTTAGATCAATGGTAATTCTCCTTCCCGTAATACTTTATTTTAACTCATTTGAAAGTCATCAATCCCATTGTTGAAAAGATAAAATTATTATAATTCCTTCTCTAAATTCGTCAAAATAAACAACAACATTTTAACAATTCCTAATGACACCAATTTCAACGTTGGCCGTATTTAGGACTGTTAATGAGCCGAGCCGAGTCGAGTTTTGCCTTGTTCATGTTCGGCTCGTTTATAAACGAATGGAGCTCGAGCTTGGCTCGTTTATAAACGAGCCGAGCCGAGTCGAACACGAGCCAACTATTTATTAAATCTTGACACATCATTAACATCGAAAGTTAGGCTCGAGCTCAACTCTAAGATAAGTTATAATATAAATACCCTAATATTTATATGTCATATGTGATACAAGTGATAACCTAATGTTATGTCATATATGAGACGTATTTGCTTACATATACTAAATGTATTAAACACCATATGAGGTGATATATACAATTTAAAACTATATGCATCATTAACAAACAAACTCATAAAATATAGATTGATTTTCTCATAAGCTGTAGTCGAGTTGGCTCTCTAGTCACAATGTTGGGACATCTCATAAACTCAAAACGAGACAGTTCATGAGTTTTATTAAACGAGCCACGTAATCGAGCTAGTTCACGAGCTTCACGAGCCGAACAAGGTAGAGCTCAAGCTGGACTTGTTTTATAACGAACCGAGCTTTTTTTTTAATCGAACACTCACGAATAACTCGGCTCATTAACGGCCCTAGCCGTATTACACAATTCCCTTGCTCAAACTATCACTTATGTTAATTAAATATTGGCTATCTCAGAAAATTCCAACAGAAAAATTAATGCCTGATATTTCCCGCTTTTCCTTCGAGCCGCACTGCCGATCAAGTTAGGCTAACTCCAATGCATTCCCCATAAATGGTGAAGTCTGCCAAAATGGAGAAAAGTAGCCTCCAATGGATCCCCATAAACGGGAGGATCTCCAAAAATAGGGAAAATTGTCATTTGGATTGCAAAAAATAGGGTTGGTTTTGGCGATTCTGTTTAACCTTTATCATTATCAAGTGTTGTGTGTGATAGACCGTTAGTTACACATGTTTTTACCCCTGCTCTTACTCTGTTTGAGGTATTGATT